ATGTCCACAACACCACACAGCTTGGTATCGTTAGCAAACTTGCTGAGGGTGCACTCAGTCCCACTGTCCATGTCACCAAAAAGATGTTAAATAGCACTGGTCCCAGTACTGACCCCTGAGGAACACCACTCATCACTGGTCTCCGCTTGGATATTGAACCGTTGACCACAGCCTTTTGAGTGTGACCATCCAGCCAATTCCTTATCCACTGAGTGGTCCATCCGTCAAATCCATGTCTCTCCAGTTTAGAGACAAGGTGTCGTGTGGGACAAATGCTTTGGACAAGTCCAGGTAGACGGTGTCAGTTGCTCTTCCCCTATCCATCGATGCTGTAACCTCATCATAGAAGGCCACCAAATTAGTCAGGCAGGATTTGCCCTTAGTGAAGCCATGTTGGCTGTCACCCATCACCTCCTTATGTATCCCCTGTATACATCTACAGGGAAACTAGTTTGCCAGGTGCTTTATGTTTACTAGTGAGAATAAAGCACTTCTGAAGTACAATTCATAAGGCTGGATGAAACCTGCCATTGAAGTGCATGCACTGCATGGAAAGGAGAGGTCAGGTCCCTTAGTGTGGATGTCACTATCTACACTGAAACACCTTCCACTTGTTTAGATGAATCACAGTCCTAAATTCACTGCATAGCGTGTGGCGATCCATAAATCCTTGTTGTATATCCTGGAGAGGTGTTTCTGTCTGACTACATGAGAAGACTGAGTTGCCAACATTGGCACCGTAGCGGGTCACTTAAAGTTAAATGCATAAATTTCATTTCCTGCTTCACAGAGGGTTTAGTAATCTTTTATGAAAATTCAGCTGGAGGCTTATAAAGATGAAACAAAAAATTATTAGAACTAATGCCTTTATGTAGGGGATGCAAAAGTCAAAACTAATCAGGTAAATATTTAAAACATTCTTTGCTTATTTCTGAAAATCATGTCGAGTGGCATTTCTTTCATAACAAACATAGCTCTTGTTGACTTGTATAGTTTCTGTTCATTGACTGCAGGCCAAGTTTATAATGGTGTTGAGCTCTCTTAGAAGAAAAAGCTACTGCTCATCCTTTCTGGAACAGCTCTGTGCCTTGGGCTGACAGCATTTCTAGGCAGGCTGAAGCCTTGCCAAAGTATCGTGACAGACTAAATATCCAAGCTGCCTAGATCTTGTTTTTGCTATTGTTCTTATTTTTAGCAAGTAGGATTTTTTCTTTAAACTTTTCGTATAGAATATGCACTCCAGAAATGTTAATAGGATCCTCTCTGATATCCTGCACTGCCAGTTCTCTCATATTTAGTGCTTTGTCCCATTACTATAGAGTGATGGTGCAGAACATCAGAGCCTGGTATTAGCAAGTTTCACATCATCATAATGGCAACCTTCTCCAGCAGTTCGATGGCATTACAAAGCACCTGCTCTTACACAAGGTGTGTGAGTGTGTGTAGGGAGTATCAAAAGAAATGAGAATGAAATTAGATTAGCTATCACGGGAGAGATTGAACCTTTGGGAGCCTTAAGCTGACTGTATCCTGTGCAGACCTGTTTCTTTTGTAATGTAAATGCATGATCATTCTACGGTGCAGATTGCATCCAGGATATAAATGCCCTATAGAAATACTTAATTGTCTTTGTATCTTGAAGAGTGGGTAGTGTTTCTAAATCCTCAGATCCTTTAGCTCCTAGAGAAGTCAGCAGTGAAATGCTTTTCCTTCTTTTCAAATTAATCCTCACTGAGGCCCTGATAAAGAAAGATACTTATTTGCATCTCTGCCTTTCCATCCAGATACAACTTCAAAGCTGGCCCAGCTCTGAGCTGGGAGTTGGACCAGATGACCTTGAGAGGTCACTTTCAGTCTAAATTATTCATGTTTCTTTGAAATGTTTAGGTAGCTCTTCGTGGTCAGTTTTAAAGCAGGTGATATCAGAGAGAAAACAAAATATTAATATGTTAAATCACAGCCTTGTAAATGAATGCAGAGATTTAACAATTGTATCGAAACATAAAAATGCACGTTTATTTTTACAGACAAGTAGATGAAAGCAGAGTAACTGCACAGCTAAAGGGAACTCCACCACTTTGGCCATACAAATTTGGCATGCCCGTTCCCTCCCTTTTCTCTGAACTGCTTCTACATTATTCATACTAATACATTCTGCATTACATGATATTTTGAATGAACAAACTCATTGTTTTTGCTATTCAGACTTCAGAAAAAGTAGAGTATTTAGACTCTCCTGCAGTGATTCTGTAGGCGCAGCACAGCTAACTCTCTGTTTTTTTGTAGCGTTGTCGGTATTGTCAGTGCTAGTACAGACTGGTGTCAGAACTATTACAGTGTACTAAAATCTGTTTGTAGAGGTAAAATATGAGGAATGTAAGCCATTTAAGCCCTACCTTGAAAGTTTTCATGATGCTCAGGTAGGTGTCTGTTTTTGGCAAAAGAAGTGAAATTCTGTCTTTGAATATTCTTTCAAGAACCAAAGAAGTTTGAGGAATACTTTGTTATCAATCTAAAATATCATTTGAGATTCAGAACATTTTATAAACTATTGATGATCTATTTTAGCTGTTAGAGGGATTACATTTCTTTAAAAGCTTTGTGAGGTACCTAGAAAAGCTGACTTAAGTTTTCCACAAGAATTAGGTTTGAGAGGCATATGCATTTCTAGAAAAATCAACACTTTTTTTTCTGTTCATAAAGAAATACACCTAGAAGGCAAGGTGAAGCATGTAAAATAAGTAAATATAAGGCAACAAAAGACAGTGAATATAACTATATAACAAGCAGGTTTGGGCTGGTTTTCTCCCTTGTTTTCTGGTGGTAGTGTTTGGCTGGGATTTTTTCTGGTTAGTTCTGGTCTACAGATGTGAGTGATTGAGGGGTTGTTTCTTCATCACAAACCCGAAAAAGGTAATGCGTCACGTTAATGTCATGCTCTGGTCTGGGAGACGTAGGTTCTGCATTGGCCTAATTTAAAACAATTCATATCCAGCATCTTGAGAAAATCCAGAAGGGTTTTTCTGGAGGGTAGGGCAGCACAGAAGTGGCAAATGAGTTTTACTCTTCTCGGGAAGTGAGAGAAATCCTAATAATATGTCGGGCTGTTGGTCACATCTGGAAAAATAGGAGAAGATGACTTCCAGATCAGTCTTCAGAGAACAGTAAGTTTGTCCTTATTCGCATCCTTTGTTTTCTGCTGCATAAACCAAGGAAGCAGATGTGGAGAGAATGCAAAAATATTCAAATCCTGCCACTGAACCAGAGAGAGCTTTCTTGCTTGACTGATGGCTTGCAGATTAGAGGTAGGTCCAGGGTGGCTCAAGTTTAACAAAACAGCATATTTTTGAGAGGAAATAGTGGTATTATTTTCCAACTACTAACAAACATAAGGCAAGAAAAAGAGGAAAAAAAAGACACTAAGGATTTTATTGCTTTTGTCAGCAACCTAGAGAAGCTCAGCGACAGGCAACAGAGAGGAACAGGCAGGATTATACAGCATCATGAAGGGGAGGACAGAAAATTTAAATTTCATGTCATGAAAAGGTGTGGAGGAATTTGAAGATGAAGTGGTGTACCTGAATTGATTATCAGAAAACACAGAATAAAGCAAAAAATATATATGGCTTGCAATTGTGAAATCTACTTAGACACATCACTCAGTTTTGATACCATTCTTTCCGCACTTTCTACTCACTTTTACCTAAACTCAATTTAAACTAGTGTAACCTTTCCCTTTCGCTAGAAATATGTCTGTGTTGTGCTTGACATGGTATTTGATTTCTCTTTGCAACATTCACTTTTTTTAGACAGGGTTAATGCTGTATGTCTCTTTCTCCCCACGCCTCCCTGTGTGACCAGTCTGCTCAGAACTCAATTTACCTGATTCTGTACTTGCATAAAGGCTGATCAAAATGACTGGGCTGGACTCTAAGTGCTGTTGAAATACTATAACATTTAGTTTTGAGCATACAAATTGGAGACAATTAAATGTTTGGGTTTTTTTAAAAATATGTGGTAATACAGCAGTACAAACAACATCTGTTAAAAAAAACATTGAAAATCTGTTATTTCTAATATGCATATGTGTATATTTGTGAGTGTATGCCTGTGTATTTATTTATATATTTTAATCTGGCAGCCCACTGAAACTACAAAGTCTGCTTCCCATCCAATCACCGGAGAAATTCAGGTAAATATGTAGTTTTTGCTGCATAAATTGTTATTGCTACTGGCTGCATTTTTCCGATGAATACGTTTGCAGAAAACAGTATCTCCATTAACTGATTTCTTATTCAACTCCAACCCCTTGAGATGTCACTAATGTAAATCAGTGATAGATTTTCACCACTGTCTTTAATGTTGGCTTGTGAAATACAAGTAGAAGAACAGAAAACGCTACTGTTCCTGAGTGGGCTGAAAACGTAGTGAAATTCATTCTAATCTTTATTCTTTGGGCACTTATTGTTGTTCACTTCAGAAATTTAAGCAAAGACTGCTGAGGGTTTCTCACTGTGCAGTGGATGCATTTCCATGCAGTGCCAAGTTTGTGGTTCTCTCTTATGTAAACTGACTTTACTCTAGTTTTTTAAAACAGTGGAACTGGGAGCAGCAGAATAATGAAGCCTAGTTTCCTATAAATCTCTGTCTTTTGTTCCCTTAGTTCATCCTTCTCTCCTATACTAGCACTCAGGGTCTTTCCATAGCATTATAACATCCTTCCCTGGCTTGAGCTCCAGGTAGTCAGAATTTGTGTATTTCCTACTCAATAAGCCGGCTATTGCTCAGAATGATATCAAGGATTCATGTTTCAGCTGCTTTTTCCTGACTGGAATAGATCGATTCCTTTTTTTTTTTTTAACCAGTACTGACAGACTTTGAAAGCAAAATTTGTTTTGAGATCCGACATAATCATCTAGCATCTCATTCTAGTCAGGAGAGAGAGACAGGAACTTCTAAAATGTGTTTATTTCCAGCCAAAGCAAAGGTCTAGAACTCATTTTATTCAAAGGTTTTCGGAGAGATATTGGATCATTTAGGAAATAAAAATAACAAATAATCTCACTGTATTTTAATGCATTCTCTAGCTTCAAATCAACTATGACAAACACCTTGGCAACCTTATCATCCACATCCTTCAGGCAAGAAACCTTGCTCCCAGAGACAACAACGGCTATTCTGACCCCTTTGTTAAAGTTTATCTTCTGCCAGGGAGAGGGTAAGTGTAGGAAAAATTTTAACCTGATGTTTGTTTTAATTTGGTTTTGTTACTTGTCACTAATAAACAGAACTGAGAGTTGCTGCTACAGAAAATCCAGGTACAACACCAGGATAAATTATGAGGTTTTAATAGAAAGACAAATCCTATTCCCAGGCAAATGTGCATATTTTGCTAATGAGTTCAGGGACTTCATGATCATTCTTGTAGATTTAACTTGGTTTTCATGTTTCCATTTAAAAATTCTAATATATGCAAAATGTATTAAAAGAACAACAAACTGTACTGAAATGTACTAAATACATGTAATACTTTCTGTAATATAAAAAGCTACATGATAAGGTTAAAACAGAATTGTTGCTTCAGCTCAAGAGATTCTGAATTTGGGACAAATTTGCAAACATGCAGAATTACAGTATCTGAAATAAATTTAAGGTTCCAGTATAATATCAAAGGTGAAAAACACTAGACAGAATATATTCATTCCATGTGATTTTTAATGACTTTTTTAAAGCGTTAAGATGTGACTTTAGAAATTCTGGTAATTTTGTGTCTAATGACTATACAAATCACTAACCACTTTTTCACAGACTATTGCTTTGTTAGACTCTGTAATTGCAAACAGCTCATTAGTGTTTCCTTTAAAAGCTGTGTTTCTGTATTAGCAATATAATAACTCTTTTTTGTGCCCTCAAGTTGCAGAATGTCCTACGTATGCGTAAGTATACATGGTTATAATAATACTGCTGACTTCTAAAGCTAAGCTGATGGATCAGACCTGAGATTGCAAAGATAAATTCCCGCAAACTTCTCTGCTTGTGTAATCACACTCATCCTAAAAGACTCTTAGACTAGCACCACGCAACTAGAAATCTGTATTGCTGTTCTATTCAAAATAACAGGAAAGTGGATGCTCAGGTCACAGTTCAGCATTTGGCATATGGGCCAGCACAGCTAAAAGCACGAGTGGTACAACCAAAGCCATACGTATTCTTCTGTCGCTTGCTAATTCCAGCTGTACAGCATTCAATATCGTTCAGTGGCACTGGGCCCAAAACTATTACTCAATATAATGGGAACAAGTCCTAAATCTTGAGAGTTTTTTTAATGCACCTAAGAGCCTTGTAAAATGCTGGTCAAATCAATCTTACTGGAAACTTTGCAGGTACATTCACTGATGTAGAAATAAGACTTTGGACTAGAGAAACATTTACCCTGCAGAGGTCTAAGCCAGATCCAAATATAGGTTTAAACTTGCTGCTAAGTTATGAAGAATTTGGGTTTTAGTTTTGTTTGGGTTCATTATTTTAAAACACGGCAATGTTACATTTTTGTGTGTAACTTGGGAATTTAAGGAATAAAGAAAATGAAGTGCTTCTCAAAGGTGTCAAACTTGTTTCTGAAAGTAGAACCTTGAATTGATACTGAATATCTTTTATCTGTAGTTCAGTCCATGCTAGACATCTTATTCTTCCTAATGCCTCTATTTCTTTTAATTCTGATACTAGAAACAACCCGTTATTCATGTTTTCTTTCATCTCTGTTCTCATTTTCTCTCCCACTGCTTCCTCTGTGTTCCTAACTCTGCAAATGCTGGGTATGCAGACAAGTCATGGTTGTCCAAAATGCAAGGTAGAGTGTACTATCTTCCAATTCTATTCTTTCATTTTTGTATGCATGCATGATATGATAAGCCAGGGCGTGGAGCTATAGATGCTTCTTGAGTTTTGATGACACACTACTGCAGCATGGTTGCTGTCCATTCTCTAATGAATCCCATTTCCATGTCAGAAGGAACTGGAAACAAGAAATTAATGTTTCTCGATGCAGTAATATTCTAGGGACAAACTCTGATGACAAACAAAATTCCTTTTCAAGTCTGGAAGAATTTAGTTCAGAGATATCTAAAAATTCGTTCTCACTCACTGGAAGTTGCAAAATAATTAACTGTGAATTTGTGTCAAGATTTTGAATGATATTACTGCCAAGAGAAACAGGCACTGATTGGAAATGAAGTGGAATATTTTTCTCTCTACACCTTGCACACTGTATAGACATTAAAGCCAGGTGTAATTCCACATAATTGCCCAGCTGGCTTTAAAGCTGCTTGATGACATAAATGGCTATTTGTGATAAACAAAGTTGAATTTTTAGTTAGTGAAATTACTGGTGCTTTATTTGTCCTGGAGTTGGAAACATAAGGCAAAACTCCATTCTCAAGATGTTCTAATATGAGCGCAGGCTAAGTACATAAGAATAGTAGTTCAACTCTAATTCTCAATTTGTTTAAAAGTAGAAACCTGACCAAACAAGTCAACAGATGAATTTTAATAAATAGATCTTCTCTATCATGAGTATGTTTCTTTGTTAATAAAATTATTTAATGAATGTGTTTAAATGTCACATTTTATATGCAGTTATTCTATTATACTTTTTTAATTGTACTTTCTGTTGTAACATATATTAATAAACTATAATTAAGAAAACAGAGAAATGATAAAGAAAAGAGTAATGCAGTTTTTATCTTTTGCACAGCATACTCTGTGAATTTCAAGAGCAAATTATTTCATGCTAGGTATAGACTGGTTTAATGAATGCACTTTATTAAAGCATCCCCACCTCTTAATCACCTGTTAATAATTGTTGTGGGGAAGGTACGTCTGTGCTATGAACTTAATGTATTCACCTGATCCTTCAGAGGTCTAGAAACCTTAAACTGTCATCCAGCTTAGCCTGGGTCTGCACCTTCTTAGAAGAGGTCAAGATCTGCTGCTTCCCTCCGCAACAGATCCAGACCATAGGCTATGTGAACACGGGCTAATGCCCCCCTTGCCAGTTTAGATCCAGGTACTCCATGGGCTTCAATGGAAATACTCCAGAACTACCATGTTAACAACACATTTACCTTTTGTCACTGCCACATCTGAAACTCAACAGTGCATGAATCACCTTCTCACGTATTTCTGAAAAGAATCAGAAATTTTGAAAAGGTGATGAAGATTTAATATTGCAAAAGGAAATCCAGGAAGGCAAGAGTATGTCTTGGTGCCATTTTCTTGGTTTAGTACACAGAGAGTCCTTTCCTACTTTCTTCAAAAAGATGAAAGTATGTGAATTACTTAAAACATACAGGAAAATGTATTTAGACAGGCCCAATCTGCATAATACTATCCTGGCTTAGTTAAGGTAAGAAGGGGATTACTCTGAGTGTAGAAGGAGTTTGAGTAAGTTAATATTTCATTAATAGTTGATCAGAATAGATATTCACTTGAGGGGTACTGTGAGCTGAGAGAGAGAGATGCTGCCAGCCCAGCTGTCACTTGCTGGTGTCCCATGTCTCCTTATGGGTCTGTCAAATCTCATTAATGTTTTGAGTGATGAGGATGCTTTTCTCAGATCAGAGTGTGGGAAAAGAAGGGTACTGAGGTGCTTAAGAAATCTAAGTGCATTATTGAATAGGATTTACCATCAAAACCTAATTTCCAAAAGAATTCAAATTTTTTATTTCAGCTTTTCTTGCAAGATATGCAAAGAAATAACTTTGTATGAGCTTCTTTTTCATATGGTCTTGGTTCCCCTAGATTTTAATTTATCCTTTTCTTACTGACATACAAGAAAAAAGAAATCTTTTTTTTTTTCCAAAATATACCATTGTATGCTGTGGCCGACAGAACTGATTGCATTGTGGAGAGCTGCTACTTTGTTCCCATAAGCAGACGTGGACAGGTATTTTCTTTCATAGGTCCAAATGCCCTTCACATTTTTCAATAGACTGGAAGACAGCAGATAGCATGTTCTGCAGGAAAATAAATGGAACTGCATAGAATGACTATAAGCAAAAAGCAAGAGCAAAAAACAGCTGCAAGTCACTTTCATTAAAAGATAACGATCTAGTAAGCAGCTTAGATATGGCCACTCCGTTTTGGAGAATAAGGCCACTACACACTCCAGAATAATTAGAGGGGAGCACTGCACTGCAGAATTGAGTTTGTAGAGTGAAACTGCTGGTGCTGAAGACCCAACATTGACGTATATGTGTCAATGAAACACATACATCTTTCACATAATGTTAATTCAGACCTTCTCCAATCTGGTACCATGTGTGGTACACCATTAGTGACTAGCTGATTAAATGAGTCTCTGGAGTGCATCTTCTGAGTTAATCTCATATGAAAGGAATCTTGTTCATTTGCTCCGAGACCATGCCACAGTGTGAACCAAAACACAGTTCAATCAGATGTCAGAAGTGAGAATCAGAACAGCACACTACCAAAAATTAATGCGGAGGAACCGTAAGAGAGCTTAATAGGGCAGACACAGGTCATTCTGTGCCACTTGGCCTTAGTGCTGCAGAACAGTCCTGGACACACTTAATTTACTAATACATACAGCAAGTAAATCCTTTAATGTATGGGAGGTTTGAATGGAAGACAAAGGGCAGATAAATTGCAGAGTGACAAAACGAGGTTCTTTATGTCTTGTTGGGTTTTCAAAGTATTAAAAGCTTCTCATGTTCTACCCAGCTCTTTTGAGTTGTCCATTAAAATTTATATTAAATTACAATTAAAATTGGAATGGAAGCAAATCTGACATCAAAGCTCACAGAGCTAGATGAATCCATATTCTGTTAAAGGTTAGCGTATTGCTTTCTCCATACTCAGGAAATGCAAAGTGCAATAGAAAGCACTACTGATTCCTTTTAAAAACAGATTATGCAGCCAAACTTTTTATTCTTGGCTATTGATAAAAATAATCATGAGCTTGATGCACTTTTATGTTTGTTTCCAGTACAGTTAGAGGTATAGGCAGAGAACTGGATCAATAAGAAATTAGTATTTCTGTCATTAACAGGATATTAGTTACCCCATGGCGTTCATTAAACTTTCTTGTGAAATGAGACTCCTGTAATTAGAGACTGTAACCTATAAATATAATGGACTCGTGCTACTTGAAAGTGCTAATAGGAGGATGATCTTGGAAAAGAAATCGATGTATTATCACTTCAATTTATAATCAGAGCCCAACACCTACAATGGGAGAACAAAGCATATGTGCATGTGCTGACGGATGCTTTATGTTGAAACGGTTGTTGGCAGAGCTAGCCTGCTGAAGGGTCAGGAGATGTTTTAAAAGACCATGTCAGGAAAGCATGCTAATGAAAAAAACCCCAAAGGCTGTCATTGTCCTCTTGTAACCCTGAACTGTAGCAGAAATGAGGGACACAATTCTTTTCTTTTTCCTCTTTTTGGTTTGTGGGTTGTTTTTTGTGTTAGAACTGAAAGAAACAAAAAGAAACAAAAGATCGCTAATGTAATGTTTCCTTCCTTTGTTCAAATTCAGTGCCGAGTACAAGCGGAGAACTAAGTACATACAGAAAAGCTTGAATCCTGAGTGGAATCAGACGGTCATTTATAAAAATATCTCCGTGGAGCAGGTGCGTGACCAGTAGTGCTGTTCAGTGCAACTTGCTGCGTTGTTACTTGTGTGGTCTGCAGTGCTTACTGTGAAGGTAGCAGTGCTGCTGGCAATCCTGTGAACCCTGGTAAAGTCTTGCGAAATTTAGGGGAAATTTGGAACTATTTCCTTGCTTCTGATAGAGCTTACTAGATCAGTACTCTTTTCTTGTCAGTTCTACTCATTAAAATGGTAATTTGTGGGGATTACACTCATAATCATGTCATAAGTACAGATGTGGCAATTTAAAAAATGATAATGGAATACAGTAAGGGAATAAATTAAGACATCATAAGTTTCTAACTAGATGCAGAAATCACTGTCACTCTTTGTTCCAAGATCCGTGCAAGCTCAGACAAAACACAAGTCATATGATTTTCTCATGCAAAAGTATTTATAAAACATGGAGATACATTTTTAGATTTAGCATCAATGTACAGCAATGGCCTTCAGATATGAGTCTTCTGAAAAAGATTTAGAAGATACTTAATTTCCTTGTTAAAGAAAGATTTAACTCACATCCGGGAAACAGGTCTGTGGAAATCTTCTGTTTCTTGGTGGCTTCCTCACTCTAGCTAACCTATAGGGTTAACTGAGGCAGTATGAAGCAATTGAGTCCTCTTTTTCTCCATCTCTCCTTTAAAAGGGACTTTTTACCATTTGAAAAGGGCATAATGAGCAAAATGATGATCATCCATTTGTTTAAATTATGAAGTGTATTTTGTAGAATAATGGATCTGTATGAAGTCCTAAATCTTTTTGCCTTTCTAAGTGTTTTGTTCTTGATACTTTCAACTTCACTTTTCAAGGCCATTTATTCTTTCAGTACTTCTTGAAAAAACCCAGAATAACCAGACTTTTTAGTGAATAGATTTCCCAATGCTTTTAATATACTTCTCCAGCATAACACCAAGGCTTCAATATTATCTTCCTAACTTAAAATTTGGTTATTCATTCTTCTTGTTCATTGAGAGGAACATAGATTAAGATACTAATTTTTACATGGAGCAAAACCCTTCCCACAGAGGGACTAGCATGGTTGCTCATGCAATCTACACATCCGAATTTAACAGGCCATAGCTCAGATTTACTTCAGAGGTGCCTTGTTGTATGTAGTGGTTATGGTTTGCTGGGTTTTGTATGCTGTTTTGTGTAGGCTTCCATAAATGGTAGGTCATTGACAGTGAACACATCAGAAGAAAAAAACTGTGATTTTTATCTAGCTGCAATATAAGCCCTGAGTCTTCTGGGTTTTGTGAAAAAGGTTGGTAAGTCTTAAGCAATATTTCCAAACTGAGCTTTCCATGTAAGAAAGGCTCTTCTGTTCACTTAATTTGCTTCCAGGTTCTGCTGTGACATTTCACAGAGCTGTAATTAAGAATGCTTGGGTGTTGGACATTCAGTGGTGTTTCGGTGATTTTAAATTCGATAATGATCTTAGTGTAGGATTTCTTGTACAGAGATTTTTGTGAAAGAAAACTTCCTAATATCTTTGATGTCATTTTTTTGACCATTATTTAATGAAATTTGCCTTTAGGTCACGTATTGAATTATTTGAACCTTTGCGTTCTATTTGCACATCACCTCCTCTTCTCTTCCTCCAAGACTGATAGGAGTGCTTATAAGTGTGCAAGCTCCATCTGGGCACAATATATGTTGTATGTTTTGTCCTTTTGCCACATAGAAGTGCGCTCAGGGAATAGTGCTTCCTTCCACACCTTTCCATGGCTTGCATCTAGTGGTAAGATAACAGTGTGAGTTATTCTTCTCCTATAAAATTCAGTGCCCTGACTTAGAGAATGTACAGTAAAGCACATTTCTAAATCATCAAATAATTCTATGCTGATGATAAGTACCCTCTCCGATTTGAAAAACTATCACCATGCAACAGTATATTGTTTGCACTCATAACCCTCATGAATGGATATTTCAAAATAGTTATGGTTATGAAGAGAACTATAAAACAATAATCATGATAGTCTGAGTGTTCTGATCACCAAACAAGTAAAACTGCATCATACACTAAGTTATACAGTTAGCAGTCATACCCTAACATAAATTCATGAATCTTTATAAATATTATTTTTTCAAAGAAATATTTCCTTTCCCTCCATCAAAGCATGGGTTGCTTGCTGACAGCAAATAAGTATTACTAAATATTTCCTAATCTAGTCCTTTTAACGTCACTGTCTAGACTTTAGTTGGTTCTACAATTTTTCATTTTCCTTTCCTTTTTCATAACCTAGCTGAAATTAAAGTGAAAATAATTATGGGAAATAGATCACCCTTTGAAATGAAACAGACTTTTTCAAGTTCTGAATGACTAGTTTTATCACGTAGCAAATTCTACTTTGACAGTTGGAGAAAAAATAAATTAAACTTTGAATATTTAGTAATCTAAGTATTTTGTTAAGTAATACAGTCGAGATAATTACAGTTTGAGAGAAAGGCTGAGCACACACATTACATATATTGTATAATAATTGCTAAATCAAGTCAAATACCTGCTCAGAGCATGAGAGAAAGTATTAGAATGATTTAAGGAGAAGATGGTAAAAGATGTAAGTTCTGTTGCTGGTCAGGCATTGGTATAATGTATGACCACAAGATAAGGCGTGAATTTGTTTGCGTAAATTTCTTACCTGTCAGAAAACAGATAAAAGTATTTCCTTAAATCATGGATATAATTCATTAAAGCGAATAGCTCTTGCTGTACTCATGTCCTTAAATTGAAGGTAATATATTTTAAGAGAGTAACATTTTCAAAATCCTTGAGTGATGTAGGAGCCTATGTCTTATTTCCAAGAGTAAGAAAATCTTTCTTATGAAACAGGAAGATATTGGTACCTACTTCTTACTTAATATCTCGGACAAGAGAAAGTAAGTTTCAAACTGACCTAGCAGAAGTCTTTTGTCCTCCCACATACTGAAGTATAGAAATATAGAGAAGAATATAATAAAATGGTAAATATGAATGTAAACACAAATAAGTATAATGCGTGATCTAATACACACCTTCATTTCTACTCATCCAATGTCCTGATTGAGACTACAGTCTTTTCTATAATTTCTGCATTAATTATAGGAATTTGCTTTCAGTATAGGAGAAAACCAAACTGTATTAAAATTATTTATTTGCTTCAGTCATTAGTTGTATGAAATTTTCAAGGAATATATATTAAATATTTCAAGTAATCATAGAATCATAGAATCATAGAATGGTTAGGGTTGGAAGGGACCTCAAAGATCATCTAGTTCCAACCCCCCTGCCATGGGCAGGGAAATCCTCCACTACACCAGGTTGCCCAAAGCCTCATCCAGCCGGGCCTTGAACACTGCCAGGGATGGGGCATCCACAACTTCTCTGGGCAACCTGTTCCACTGCCTCACCACCCTCAATGTAAAGAATTTCTTTCTTATATCTAACCTAAATCTGCCCTCTTTCAGTTTAAAGCCATTGCCCCTTGTCCTATCACTACATGCCCTTGTAAAAAGTCCCTCTCCAGTTTTCCTGTAGGCCCCCTTTAGGTACTGGAAAGCTGCAATAAGATCACCCCTGAGCCTCCTCTTCTCCAGGCTGAACAGCCCCAACTCGCTTAGCCTGTCTTCATAGCAGAGGTGCTCCAGCCCTCTGATCATCTTCGTGGCCCTCCTCTGGACTCATTCCAGTAGCTCCATGTCCTTCTTGTGTTGGGGACTCCAGAGCTGAATGCAGTATTCCAGGTGGGGTCTCACGAGAGCAGAGTAGAGGGGCAGAATCACCTCCCTCGACCTGCTGGCCACGCTCCTTTTGATGCAACCCAGGATGCGGTTGGCTTTCTGGGCTGCCAGCGCACATTGCCGGCTCATGTTGAGCTTCTCATCCACCAATGAGAATGCATATTTATTTATACAGACATGCATTATCCGTAACTACACCCAGTGTTCTCCAGACATTTAAAACAAGGAACAGTCACTTCTGTACATGGGCTGTTGGTTACGTCTACAAGAGAAAATATTATTCATGTTGGCAGTTTCTGTATATTCCTTTATTTTCTTTAAATAATGGGCTGTCCATAGCAGCCTAAACCTAACTGAAGTTCACGTGCAGTAATATGCTTTTGGGTGGGTTTTTCTTTTTTAATTATTATTTATTTTTCATTTTTCCACAAAGCAAAGTCTGAAATTAGTTGTGGCTTAGTAACACAGTTTTCTTAACATACTTTTTGAACTCAAATGGGGTTCACAACATGTGTAAGGTCAGCTGGACCAAACTGCTTTCTCTCTTTTAGAGACATTTTCTTATTTTCCTATTAGTGCATTGCCCGCTTGCAGAAACTCACCATCAGATGGATAGTGGGTTTCTGCAACCCATTTCAGTATTGCTGTCAATTAAATTCCTGATGGGCATCTGAACTTCTGGCTTCATGACCTAAAACTGGATGATGTAAGACATAACCCTGCTTTGCTGTGATGGTATAATGGCTGCTTTAAAAATCACTAGCCATTGAGTGTTCTTTGCCTTCAATAGTGGTACGTGAATATATCTGCAAAAAAGGAAATTTTCCTCCTCTTTGAAACTCATTTCATGCACTCTGCCTAATAAAGCTCTTTTGGTGTTTTTTTTAGTGTCATAATGTTTTTAAAAGCTTTATTAAACTAAGAGGCTTAAAATAGATATCTCAAAGAAATGTAGAGTACTGCAAGTTTTCAGCACAGTTTTATTACCATACCAATGCAAAGAAACTAGCAAAGTAGGGTTGCAGTAACTTGAACATCTTCTCTATTTTTCCCTCTCCACCAAAAATCCTTCAGATCTTCAGGGTTTTTTTTACTTTCCTGGATCTATACATTCTTCTAGCTGTCCTTGCACAGTCATCACCAACCCAAACCATTCTATGATTCTATGAAACAAGAAGACAACATGTCTTCCCAAAAGCTGTTCCTCTTTTTGAAAGGGTAGAAATATGTGTACTTAGTATAACATCCAGGAAGCCAAAAGTAGCATGGACCAGCAGCCACTCAACTCATTTTTTCAGGTTATTTTTCACATTGCAGTTTCAATACTGTCTTGGAACAGCAAAGAAAAGGAATTTTATTCGGTTAAAGAAATCAGCTTTACAAATATTCTGTAAGGGATGTTCGAAAGAAAATCATTTTGTTCAACTTTTTCCTTAATTTTTGCAGGATATTTTTTAAAAGAATGTTTAAGAAGAATGTTGCCTAATTACATAGGAATAAAACAGAGAAAGATTAAAGGATTGCCCTCAAATATATATTTTTTTAAATCTTAGCTTTCAAGTGATGTTGTTGCCTGTTGAAAGAGTACATTGTTGATGCTAAAAATAATACAATTCCCCTTTGTGTGGGTTTTCCGGGATATGTTGATTTAAACTTGATTTTCAAAGACACTGGCTTTGCAGAGTTGCTCATTTTTGTAAAGTTAGCTGGGAGCAGAAGGTATTCTGAATACATAATAATGAGGTGAAATTATCATTTAAAGACAATGTAAAGTTATTAAGAACTGTCTGAATCTGTGTTACATTAAACCAAGGGGCAGTGGAGGTAAACAGCACACAGTGCTTTTCTTGGAAGTATATCTAATATGTACAGTAAATGGTATAGCTTCTAATTTTGAGCAATGACTTGATCCTTGTTGTCCCTTTGTCCCAGGCAGCCAGTTAATGGTCAGACTAATGAGTGACACATTGCTTCTGTTAGGATGATGACCTCAGTTTTCACATAAGATTTCTGATTCTGAGCTCTTTTATTAAAGTATGTGAAAAGAGTCCTGTTTTCCTGAGTAATGCTTGGAAGTGTCCAACAAATTCTTCACTTACAACTTCTGTCTGCCTTCGCAGACATCCCATAACCCCAAGATTTTGTTCTCTCTTTCAAGCCACATGAGTTTATTACTGACTCTGCAACCACCCACTAGCCTTTTGCCACATCATGCACCGCCAGTAATCAGTCTTCTCCCCATCTGACTCACAGAGCCCTGGTATGTCACTCAGGTCAATCTTTCCAGTAAGGTCAACTGCTTTGGTCAACAGCTTCTCCTTCTTGCACTATCTTGTCTTATAAAAAGACTTGTTTCTTACTACAGCCTGAAGGAAAAGTGCTTGACACAGCTATCATGCTTAACAAAGCCTGCAGATAATGGGGTTTGATGGCTGTCATTAATACCTAACAGTACAATTTGTCCTGCATGAATGGATCACTTGCAGAGTCCCATTGACTACATTGAATTACAGGGGTATTAATGCCTGGTCCTCACAGATGAGATTGTGTAAATAGGGTGGTTTAAATATTACATTTGAAATTCACTCTCAAATGCACTTTAGGCAAGTGCCTGAGTTCAGACCGCTCAGATCTGATGATGAGGAAATCTGCATAAATACAAAAATGGGGATTTAAAAATCAGTTTGGCCCTTGTAGTGGACACACATTCTTTCAAAAACAACTTGTGGAAATTCCTAAAATAGGGCCAAGCACAAGCCCATTTGTCTTGATAACAAATGGCCTCAAATTATTTTTTCTGAGATCAAGGTTGATGGGAGGACAAAAGCTGCCTAGCTGTCACTATGAAGACGGGTACAAGGAGGAGATAATGAATAGAAACCACCATAAATACTTGATCTGAAGTTTATGATGGCAATGGGGTTAATTATCCTTTGACTTAAATTGCAGCTGAAAAAGAAAACACTGGAAGTGACTGTCTGGGATTATGATCGATTCTCCTCGAACGACTTCCTTGGTGAAGTGAGTATCTTATTTTCTCCTCTCTAACCCTGACTAACTAGAAAGCTGATTAACTGCATGCTGGTATTTGGAGACTGTTCTCTTCCAGGGTATGGTACGTGTTTTAAGTAAAACCTTTTTTACATCACAGTTTTACTGCTGACTTCATAACAAATGGTCATGATTTCTTTCATTCACACATGAAAGATGCCTTCCCTTTATCTTGATAAACTGTGGGCAAGTTCATTTAGGACTCAACACAATGTTATTTTACTGAAAATTAAGAGGGTTTTTGAGTATGTAATAGTAACAGCCTTCACAGTGACTGAATGGGGAATTCTTGTTATGACTGATAAGCTGTCTGCCTTGATTTTAACATAACATGGGAAGGCTGAGGAGGTATCAGTCTTTATAAATGATTAAAGGATTAAATTCTGCCATCAAGCCATAATTTAGCACATGCACAAGTATCTGCAAGTGTGAGTAATTTGATCTTGCTGATCAAGGTCTCATTTTTAACACTACAAAGTAGTAATATCATTACCAAAGTATGACTGAAGGCAAAATTGTGTAATTAATAATAAATGAGATGAGTGATCATGGGAAGAAGTGCGCTCTGTCTATTAAAAGCAAATAAACAAACATACACATGTATAATACAGAATTACCAGCAATAACTGGGATGTCAAAAAAGTAATTAAAAACGTTATTACAAAAGAGGATTATAATTAGAAACAGAAGCCCGGGAAAATTGATTGCTCATATACAGAGTAACTCAGGGTATCTCTGCTTATCCTGCATTTGAATCTTGCAAAAAGGCACTCAGTTCAGCTCCAATTCCCCTTTGTGTAACTACAAAGTTGACCAATCAGTGTCACTATTTGAACAGTTACGAAAATAAATGTGTAGTAAACAGCTATATGATTACTTATTTCCTGCGTACGGCATCAATATTCTTGAGTTCAGTAAGTTTGTCCAAATGCAGGGCTTTACTGAATATTTATATCATTTTTATTTATGACATTTAGAAAATGGATGATCCAGCAGCTACTTGTACAGGAAGATTTAAATTTTTCCCTTAAAATATTTTCAACCTCTAGAACTATTTTCTTTATTAAATTATTCAGACTTAAATATGAAAACCGTTCTTCATGTTAAAAAGGAACAGAAAATACTACGCAGTGTATTTCAGGACCAGGATGTCCAGAGGAATCCTGCACCATAACATCAAATATGAGATATCCAAGTTGTGCCCAGAGGATATGCTTGAATAGGGCCAGCACCAGTTGCATGCCCCAGGTTAACATTATGGTTCACATCAATGGAATGTGATCCCTCTTCTCTTACAAAGCAGAGCCCCGGGCCTATACTGCCTATTGGGAACAATCCTCAACCATGCAGCCTTCCAAGTCATTCCCAAAGCTATGACCAAAAACCACACCAGGGAGCATGCTACATAGTTAATCTGTTCAGATTAAGTATAGACCTAACCAGAAAGACCAAGCCAGGTCAAATACAACCTGTGAAGCTGAAACAAAAAAGACTTTTAACCTTCTAGAAAAATCAGTCATGAAGAGAATTCCCCATCCCTAAACTTGACAAGGCTTTCTTTAATTCAGAGTCTTATAATAAACAGACAAAGATGTTGTTCCCTGAGGTAATAGCACACTTGGTTTGTCTACCAGTTTTAAAACTTCCCTACCTGACGTTAGTTTTAACACTCTCACCTCAGAGGCAAATGCAAGGCTATTTTTGTCCTTTCCTTCATTCAAGACTCTGTGATGACTGTTTAGTACTTTATATCTCCTAGTCCTCTCAGCTACAAGACCATTAAGGTTCCAATATTAATTTTTCTTTACTTTTTTTTTTGTAAGAAAATTTCACAGAACTCCTGCTAACAATGCAGGTAACCTAGAGCCGACTTTAGCTACGATAGGGTATTTTTTAGTCAAATTGCTTGTTTCATTTCCATATTGCCATTGCATCTCCCTTTTTTTTTTTCTCAGTGAAGTTTCAAGGCACAAATTGCCTATTGAATTCCATTATTTTAGTGAAGTGCAAAGGTATCCTTGTTCTTTTATTTTTGTTACAAATTCTGCATTTGTGGATTTTTTAAAGAATCAACAAGCACCAGTCTCGTATTACTGAAGACTTTATTAAAAATAAATATCAAAATATTTACCCCTTTACTAACATTGACAAAAGGGACATTCAGAGGCAGAATGACTAGATGTCTTTTTAGTCTAACTTTCAAGCTAGTCTCACAAGCTACTCTTTAAACCGTCTAGCTATCTTGATATGGAGCTATGTCTAAGCTCATAGTTCTTACTGAGGTCCTGTTGAGAAGATCTATTAGTCCAGACACATCAATATGCTAACAAATGTGGATTTGGGATCGCAGTTAGCCTATATCAGTTGAGGTCAGAGCATAAGCAGAGAGTCCTGAATCTCTCAGCATACACCTTTATGTCCTTAACTTCTTCCATTTGATTCCAACTTCTGGTAACACAACTATTGCTGTGCACAATCATTACTAGATCAGATACAGGCCATAAATTGTACTTTGATTTAATTGTAGGTATTGATTGAGTTATCCAGTGTCTCTCAGCTTGACAACACTCCTCGGTGGTACCCTCTGAAAGAACAGAGTGAAAACATTGATCATGGGAAATCCCATTCTGGACAGAGTAGCCAGCAATCTCCAAAACCATCTGTCATCAAGAGCAGAAGTCATGGAATTTTCCCGGACCCCTCCAAGGGTAGGAATGACTTGGTGCATCTGATATGAAATGTTTTCCCAGATGATGGGAAAACCTTTGCTATGTGTAAGTTCCAATAGAGAAATAATGGTACTGTTATGACGTTTGTATACACTTTTATTAAAAACATATTTATCTCTGTGATTAATTCATTGGATCCAAGGCTTAATTTGACTTGATCAGTGCCAGTCAGCTTACGGAGTAACTGTGTCCTTAGAACAGCAGCTTACAAGCTCTATATGCTTTGCACATCTACTACAGGTTCTGTGCCCTTTTCATTTTTCTGGTAGCCTTGGCTAAATTCAATACATATTTAGCTTTCTATTTTTCATGTTCCTTAAATACTCTATGGCATTTTATCTTCTGGAAATGTCGCATTAATATTTGATAGAATAACAATCACGCTATATTAATGCATATGCCTTTCCAGTCAATGATAATGGGCTGTATCAATTGTATTAGAAATCAGTAGAGTGATATAGAAAATTATACTAATGTTTACAAAAGCAGAAGTGATCCCAATGTCTCTTGCTCCATGAAATTTATCTCTACTTTTTTTTATACTAAGTAGTTGGTGGCCAGTTGCTCACTTAAAGCACAGTGTATGTCATATCAAAGCAAAAGTCATCCTAAACAGCATCCAGATGAGAGCCTCAGAGTGAAAAGACTCTGCTCCATCTCCTCTCTATTTCTCCATGTGATGTTTAGCTAGGGGTTGGTGTCTACATAAGATCTATCTATAAATTAGAGGTTAGTACAGCACCTATTGTAAGTCAGGCTATGGTTTTGGCTGAGGCATTCATTAGAATAAAACTGCTTACAATATTCAATACTGGCGTAAGTGATGCTAGTTAGTCTCTGCACTATAGAGAAGTAGAAAGTAGAAAATGAACTAATCTTTAGGCTACTCCGTCATTTCACCAGTGTGAAGCAGCACAGGAGGCATAATTCACAGGTGACAGAAACCCGATAGTATATTAATTATTCCCTGGGCCAGGGAACAGTGGGGAAGTAGAAAATGATGCTTCATAAGACATTCCTAATCATGATATATCCTGAGACTTTGAATGGCATTGCACAGATTAATCTTTGTTCCTTGTTCTGGAATACAGCTAGAAAGGCCAGTCAAGAGAAAGAAAATGAAATTATTTGTTTGTTTTTAATAAACACTGCAGTTGTGCTTCTCCCTTTTCTTGGTAGACATGCAAGTGCCCACCATTGAGAAATCCCACAGCAGTCCAGGGAGCTCCAAATCTTCCTCTGAAGGACATCTACGCTCTCACGGTCCATCCCGCAGCCAAAGCAAAACCAGCGTCACTCAAACCCACCTTGAAGACGCTGGGGCAGCCATCGCCGCTGCTGAAGCAGCTGTCCAACAGCTTCGCCTTCAACCAAGTAAAAGACGCAAATAAATTCCTCAGCATGGCAGCTTAATGTTCATCTGTTGCCTTTTTCCCTGCTGTCCTTCCCTTTTAAGCTACTTTTTTTCTGTTCTTGGCACACTGTGCTCACTCTGTTCAATGTCTTTCTTTGTGTGCCTGTGTGTGAATACATATAATTACAATATATTGTATTTAGAAGTCTTTTATTTATTTATTTATTTTAATTTATATAGATGCAGTGAAACTGGCTGTTTCTCCATCAGTCTCTTCACTCATGGTCCATGATGTTCCATGGTTGTGCTTGACTCACAGAGAATTCCATTGTGTGGTGATGTTTTGATGTCACTAAATAACTGCCAATGAAATAATCAAAGCCTGCAGAGATCCAGCTGCCAGCTCTTCGAGTTGCACACAACAAGTACTGAGAGCACATTAACAACGAGATATATCTATAAGTAGTAATCAGGAAGGACAGTACTATATATACATAAGAAGATTTAAAGTTAAAGAGAAAAGTTTTTTAACTACATGGCTGAAATTTCTATTTTTGAAACATGACTGTAAATATCTAATTTTTTTTTGAATGGGGAATATAAGGCAATCTTAATATCTCAGATAAAATCATGTTAGTGACGTTAGTATTTGCAGAACAGCAATAGACAGAAACATTAAACACATTAAATGCAAAATCATTAAACACACAAAGCCATTAACAACATCAGATTTCAACAGTGTTATCAAGTTAGCAAAGTCAAAGGGAGTTAAGAGCTAAGCCAGGTGTCACAGTCTATTGAATTTTTCTAGCAATTTTTATTCCATGGATTGATTAAGGCTCAAGATAGATTTAATCTGACAACATTAGATAGATTAATAAATTAAAACTTTTCCATTCAAAAGGGTTGCTCTCCAGAGAATACTTCAGAGCAGTATCCGATTGCTAGTTGAGGGTTTAGCTGATGGCAAATTAAAACTCTCTGACTGTGGAATCATTGTGTTTGTCTTCAGGATTTGTTGATTTGTCATAAATTTACCATGGTATAATGCAAAAACTAGGGTGAAATTATTTCCCTTGTCTTCACTATCATTAATAAAGAAACAGCCAGTTTTAATACTCTTTAATGCTGTGCATGTGATGTCTCTTTGCTGTTTGAAAACACTACTTACTTAAATTCAGAAAAAAACACTTCTGTTTGCATGAATAACATTTAAGCTGGTTCCATCTGAGGATACATACTCTGGGTTTCCATTTCACCCACACTGCCACAGCAGCACATAAAAGCGGTCAGTCTAATCATGCCAGGAAGCAGCACAGACACAGCATAGCAGGAGTCCTCCCTATTCAAAGAACTCAGTCTGACAATCTGCCTCCACCAGCCAATGACAACAAAGACCAAAGCCAACTAGCCCTCAGGAAAGTGATGTCTGATGGACCAGTCAAGCCTGAAGGAGGTGAGCAGAAAGACATGGTTAAGAAACCAGCCACATCCCAAATCCTTCTTGCCATGTCTACTAATTCATTGCAATATTTAAGTATTTATTTTACCCCTTCATTAAGTGCTGTAAATGTTAACATGAATCAAGAACTCTGCTTGATTTTTCCACATCAGCGCATAAATCCATAATGAAAAATTATGCTAAGAAATATTACAAAACAGTGAACATGTGCTTCCATTCCACTGATGGACTTAAACTTCTAGTGAAAATGGTATAGTTTTGCTTTTGCTGCCTAATAAAAAGCATGCATCCAACTTGGTCTGCTTAATCATGATTGAACATTTCTTGTACCATGACAAAAAACTAATTGCACATTTTAGTTTCTGGAATTCTGTTTGGGACAGCAATAATTTCTTTTTCCTCTCCCAAAGTAGTTGTTATGTCACAAGTCATTAGTGTAGACAATTTTCAAACCGCCAGTGGAAAGGAAAGGAGTTTCGATCCATATATAGCTCAATTTCATGATAACTTTCCTATCAGCCTCTTAAAAAATTATTTTCTATCTGTAGGCACCTATACATCGAACCTAAATACCACATAGCATCAATTTATCCCCTCATCACAAATAAAGAGCCAGAGTCTCAATTGGTTCAAATTGGCACTGTTCTTTTGACTTCTGAAACATTTTGCTTATTTCCATGGAATCTGAGGAATTATTCCAATAAACTTGCAGACTGGACTCCCAGATCATCTCTTGTGCCGTACTCCCTTCCCAAGTTCTGATGATTCATTGAAGGTTTTTCTGTCAACACCATCGCACACCGTGGACAACACAGTCTGGCTGAGAATGTTGTAGGAGAGAAAGAGGGAATGATACTTAAAACAATATAAAGACAACGAGTCATGAAGAGAACTAGTGTGTTGTTAATTAACAAGGGCAAATTTAACAAGTGATTTTAAACATTATATTTAGAAAATAATCAATTATTTCTTATGAAAGCCTTAAAAACTCTTCCATAAATATAAATTCCATAATAAATTTAAACTCTTCCAAAAGTGTGCGTCCACCCACACACCTATTGTCTTACTCTACAGTTCAACTCCAGACACTGAGTTCAGGTAAAGGCCAGAAGATATCATGGTACTCATTCAGGCATGATGACTGAAAGGCCCATCCTGTTCCTGGGTTTTATGCCATAGAAAACTAAAGGCCCCATGCCTGTCAGTGTTTTAGAGGCATTTGGACAATGCCCTTGGCGACATACTTTAATTTTGGTCAGCCCTGAATTGGTCAGGCAATTGGACTAGATTGTTATAGGTCCCTTCCGGTTCAAATTATTCTATTCTATTCTATTCTATTCTATTCTATTCTATTCTATTCTATTCTATTCTATTCTACTCTACTCTACTCTACTCTGCTATGTTCTATCTCTTGTGATCTTTTGAGATGTCATTTCTGTAGAGATTTATCATAAAGGCTTGTAGTCCTATGATACCTTTTGGCACAGACAAGCAATGCTAAAGCCTTGAAAGGTTGAATCAGCGTTTCCATGTAATTTTATGGTAGGGAAATAGCTAGGCTGTTGGCTTCAAGTACCCGTGCCACTGAACTGTTATGCTAGCTTCTTGACTTTTAAAATTGCAAAAAGGATATGTATCAATATACATTTGGCTCAGAAATATTAGAAGCATCATAGACAGTTATGGGAATAAGAGCCCACATTGGTATCATTAATATATAAGTGAGGTTAGAGTTACTATGAAGAGACACAGTACTTTTGTCTTTTTACTTCTGACAAATACATACGATATATGGTCACCTACACCAAGTTTACAATTCTGGTTTCAGATCTGTGAGAAGTTTTGATTTCTTCTTACTCTACCCAAACTACTTTTCCTAATTTATTCATATGAGGTAGGCCAATAATTACCATTTTGAGGTTAATGAATCTCATGCATTTCAAAAGCAAGATTAGCTAATTGCAGCTTTGTGAAGTAGGCAAAACAGGAAGACTATGACCTTGAATAGAAGAAGCACCAAAGATACTCGAAACAGCTTTCAATTTATGGAGTTCTTTGTGGGAGGAAGAAGAGATGAAGGAAGGAGAGGTTTCCTCTGTAGTTCAAAAATTCTGAAAGTTAAAACTATATTGAACCATAAATATTAGGGCATCATCAGTTTGCAAGTCCATTCCTACAGTGGTACCACATGGTTGGGGTACCCACCCCCATTACAGCCTATTTTATTGGCACCTGGAAAAGAAGCCATGATGAACTGGTTTTATGGACTGGAACAATCATCTTGGCAAGTTAGTAATTTTTTGTCACTAAATCTCAATGCCGTTTTTAAGGAAGCCATTACAGATAATCCACAACATTATTATTATTTTTAACCACACCTGTTTCTCTATGAATTTATCAGAGAACCTTTTTGGATAACTGTGAGGGTTTTTTCACCCCAAGCACACAAGGTGATAGTAACCTAACAAGATTTCCACAATGGTGATGAGCAAAATTCAATTCTGTGAGTGATCATCAGTCCTCCTCTACCTAAGAGAATGCTCAGAAAGAATTTTCTCCTTTAACCTAGTGTCTTAATAGTTTCTTTTCTTTTTTCTTTAATTAAATCAACACTTGGAAAAAAACCAAAACAAAACAAAATAGGAACCCTTAGTCATTCTTAGAATGCCTGAGGGAAATCTTTCTCTACTTCTGACTCCCGGGACCTTTCTATCAGTTGTATTTTGTCAGTTATTAAATGTATGTCTAATGAGAATTGAAAAAGAAATCATAAACAAAACCAGCACTCATGGTATACATATTATATTTTGTGAATTAAAAGGACTTGCATGAGTTTAAGTATATTGGACTGGACTATTTCTATATTCATTTTAAATAGTAAAAAAATGTATTTTAATCAATCTGTTTTAAAATTAATATGAAGCTACAACAGAAAACATTGCTCTTTGTTCAGCACCTTTGTAAACTCCATTACAGAACTACAGCATTTAATTAAAAATAAACCCTGAAGTATAATTTCCTTGTTGCCTGTGAGAGATAACAATATGATCTACAAAGAAACCAATTGCATAATACACATTTCTATCACACCCCTCAGAGAGGAACAATAAAATTTCAGGGACAAAACTTTGAAGGTGGAAGTTGCGAGGGATCCAAGCCAGAGGGAGAGAGCAGTGCCTAGGTTTGAGTTAATTTGATTTCACTTTTATAAAAAATCTGAATCTTTGCCAATTACACATTCACATAAAATAAAGCTTATTCCTTTCAACATAAATCTGTGTATTAGAGTTTATCCACCAGATGAGTCAGTTTTAGAGGCAGCATAAATCAGTCCGTCTCCTTTTAAATCAGTAATTTATACCACAGAAGTATCTTTCTATTATATAGAATTTTCTTGGTAGGTCACTCAGGTTTTAAATATAATAAATTATTTTAGAGTTCTTCAGATATTTAAACAGTTACAGAAATTCTGATGATAATTACCAGTTCTCTGGATATGTGCATGTAAACCAGTAGGTCTTTCTGCAATATAGTTATGAACTGATTACATAAAAAGCTTTTTCAGAGCCAGTTTATAGTTTTAAAAGAGTGATCTACATGCTTTAGTTTTAATATCCAATAAAGTGAATAAGAATGAGAAGGAATAGCAAAATTTCCCGTCAGCATCCGTGTGAAGTAGAAAGGTACACCAGCTCTGTCTCACTGGAATAGAAAGTGTAGTTTCTGATGAAATATGAGG